ATACTGGGATTATTTTATTGATATGAAAAGTAAAAATTCAGAAATATGAATTTTTACTCTTATGGGCATCTTTATCTTAAAAGTTTAATAAATTTGATTGGATTATTTTTCTAAAAAACATGTACCTGATCATATTTTACTAAACATTTCTGGAGTTTGTTAGGTTAGATACATTCCAATAATGAAAATGATCTATATTATTTAGAGAGAAAAAAATCACAAATCTGTATAGAAATGTTTTGAGGTCCGTACTGCATAAAACGTAGATGTGACAGCACTCCAAGTTCGAATGAAAGAAAACAAATTAGTGCATTAGAGAAGTATGCGTCAGTGAGTTTCCAATAGACAGAACTTGTGATAAGGGGAGAGAAAAGTGTTATAAAATTATGTAATAGACAAACAAACTTCAGTTCAAAACTATGGCTATTTTAGAATTTACATAATTTCAAATTATTCAGGGATAATGAGTGTTAAAATAATTCCTCTGCTTCCTTTTTTTGAATTCCATTTCTCTTAAGGGAAGCATGCGAGTTAGGCTTCCCTTAATTGCTTTCCTGAATCCTTATTTTTTAGTACAGCAGTAATCTTCGGTTAGATGACTTGCCATCCTATTTTACAGCTATGGTGACAGATATGATGTATTTGTGCATCTCCTTGAAGAAAGATAATATACAGTGAGCGAGTGTGAGCCGCAGTTGTGTAAATGAGATGCACTTTTAACCATCAAAGTGCAGCAGTTATCCCAGTTACGAGACAGAAGCAGAGATGGAACTCAGCTGTCTTTGCATTTTTATGAATAAAAAGTGAGAAAGAAAGGGGTAGGTATAAAGAGTGACAGACAAGGAGATCTGTATTTTTATGTAAAAAATACAATAATAAATAAGGAGCTGAAAATAGTGTCTCGGAGAAAGGGCAAAAAGTCATTGGGAGATCCCATTAAATGCAAGTAAAACACTGCCAGCTAAGCTATTCATACATGTGAGCCTGATCCTTTCTTAAAACAGTGGTCTGTCTTTTATATTACATTGGCATCAAAAGTCGTTGAATGCACCATCACTTACGATCTCTTAACATTTCTCATCTGTGCATGTCTGTTAAAAATAAATACTATCACAGACATCATTATTTCAAAACAAAAATGATAAAGAGTTTTTAGCGGGATTCCACGGCTATCGGTTGTTTTCTGTACTCCAGAAGTTATGCTGGCTTTTACTTTCTAAGCACTCAGGATTTATGAATACACATCTACAGCCCATACACAGCAGACACAAAAGTTATTAGAAGAAGAGTTCAGAATTCCTAGGTATGATTTTACCAACATAAAACTTTGTGGGAAAGTTGCTGTTTAAATATCTTGTCAGATACATCCTGATAACCTCTAGTATGTTTTTACTGTAATTCCCTAAAAATAAATATTAAAAACATTTTGTGGTTTCACAGTATTAAAAAAAAAATAGAAACTGGTAAGGGTAGACCATAAAACATGTATCTGGCTTACAAAGGAACTGTTTATTCTCCTCAGAATGCCAGTGGTGAGCATTTTCGTGAGATTTGAGGCCGGATAAAAATGTGCAGCAGAGGTTCCCTAAATATGTCACTGCAGTACGTTCAAGATGTGGCTCAGCCAGCCGTTCTGAGACCCACATGCCACTCTGTGCTTTCTAGACTTAGCTAATATTGTGCATTTTAATAGAGCAGATGTAATCACATTTACTGTGTTCTGTCTGGAGTGTCATGTCTGAAAACAATGAGATGGGTTTTAATATACTTTCTAATATATAGGGGGAAAGCATGTCCTGCTAAATGCAGGATACCCTGTTCTTTGTAATTCTTGCTTTTAGCAATTGTATCAGGCAGAGTGCACGCAGCTCCTGGGATGGCTGCGTTACAAGCCTACTGTAAGTCTGTCACTGTCATTACCACAGCAGATCACTTAAATACCGTATTTTTAGAAGTCAGTGAGTTCACGTAAGAGGGAAATGCATCTTAAAAAAAAAAAAAACCTCTGTGGCTGTGAAGACCTCTGCAATTTTTTACAGGACCTTGCATTTGAAAGTAGTAGGTTTGAGAGCAGCCACTAAGGGGAGGGGGG